AAAAATTCTCCATCAACTCTTCTCTCTCTCAAGGAGGGACCAAAAGGAGCATTGATTTGGTCCCGCAAATCTCGTAGGGAAGACGCTCCTTTCTCTCTCTCTCTTTCTATTCGGCGAAACAAGAGAGTGCGGTGGAAGGAAGATACCGTTAGAAATTCCTATTTTACCCCTCTAAACGTTGTCGGGAATCTGAGAAAGCTACCACGTGCATTAAAAGCATTGGCTGTTTTTTTCTTCCTTAAATTTATTTCGATTCTTCTCAGTTACTACTTCGACACGTGGCATGAGGACCGCTGCTCTATATCAGTTGAAAGGCCCCAAGGGTTTCGAAACTCTCTCCCAGAGTAAGAGGGTTCTCTCATTAATGAGTTTTTCTTTTCTCTTTAGTTATATACTGACTTCCCATTTTACCGAACCAACGTGAAATTAGTAAAATAGCGAAAATCACGGATCGCTTTTCTATTTTTGTCGGTCCATTTATCATAGAAAGTATCTAGGGACATGATGCATATAAAAAAAAGTTTTCTTTGCTATTCTATCCACCACTCTGCCAATTCGGATAAAAAGTCTTGTGAAAATGGAACAAGATGTGTAAAAGAACGAGTATGGAATGAAATTTAGTCGTTAAACCAAAAAAAAATATTTTATAAACATTGTCTTACACTAAACATACTTTCTGCGGAATCTATATTTTTTTTAGTGTAAAAAAACCTAAATACCCGTTATCTGACAGAAGTAGTAGTTGGAGGATTTATTGGTGAATTTTATTCCTTTAGTTAATTGTAAATTTACTCTTTACTTTAACTACTGAGAGTAAACCCTAGATTTACTTTCTTCTCGACTAGAGAAGTTTGAGAGAAACTTTCGCGTTTCATCATTTTTACTTGTTAGATTAAGTGTATGACGGGTATGTCCCGATGCATACCTTTTGGTAAATGTGTATTCTAAATTTGATTTTTAATGGTTATCTTTCTCTGTTGATGTGTTTCTAATGTCCTGCTATTATCATGTGAGGCTTCTAGAAGTGGACCAGCGACGGATAACAGGTTACCAT